TCCTTTAGGTCTTTCTTTTTTTCTTTGAGAGACAAAGAGAGAGAGTGGGGTGAGGGGGTGGTAGAGAGAGAATCTTAAACAGATTCCACACTGGGTGTGGAGCCTGATGCTGGACTTGATCTTATGACCATGAGATCATGACCTGAGTCAAAATCAAGAGTCATGGTGAGTGCTGTGAAGTGTGTAAACCTGGCGATTCACAGACCTGTACCCCTGGGGCTAATGATACATTATATGTTTATAAAAAAATAAAAGAAAATTAAAAAAAAATCGAGAGTCAGACACTTAACCAACTGAGCCACCCAATCGATTGCCTCTGAGTCTTCCATTAAACTCGTCATCTGTCGATAACCACCTTTTCCTCTTCCTTTCTCATTCTCACTCTATTTTTCTTATTCCATTGGCTGGAGATTCAGCACAACATTGAACAGAAATGATGATGGCATTTATTCGCTTACTTACCAATTATGTGTGCTTTGGACAACTATAGGAACTGGGTATGTGGTAAATACTATTGGATCCCACTATTTCAAGGGTCTATCAGCATTCCGAGATATCTGCAAGTCATTCTCCCAGCCAGCAGCTAAATAGCTCACAGGGTATGTAACCACCTCCCAGAACAAGGAGGGTCTACGCTTGCTCTTTTGCACCAGAGGTGTTTTATAGAAAGACCCACATCACCTCCTAATGGTTAAAGGGGCAAATTCACCAGCTGCCCTCTGATAACTGCCATCCCCTGCCTTGGAGGTGAGTGGGGGTTGCCAGTCCCACATTGTGAAGGAGTAGCCAGGCACCTTGTATCAGAGCCAGATGGGAAAACAATCAGCTCTCAGTGTGGTATGTGACTCCACATCACATAGAATTGCTACTAGTATTTGTTACACATTTGCTCAGTTATTAACCTAATATTGTTGGATGGTGTGTCAGTATAATTTGCCTTCTCAAGTTCAAGTGTGCTTCTCAAATTTCTCTCCTAGATTCTCTGCTCTTCTCTTGCTATGTCCCATTGAGGGATCATATGCTCTTTCATTCTTCCAGTTATGCTGAATGTCTTGACTTTTCGGTTCTCTCTGGTCTCACCTTGTACTCGCCAGTTTCTTCCCTCTTTGCTCATGCCACCTTATTAACTACCCCTTTCATTAAACACACCAATTTCTTTCCTGCCTGAGAAATGTTGCACTGGATCTTTGGGCCATGCCTGTTGGTTCATTATTGCCAGTCCCACATAATTAACTCCAGTTCGTCTTTAAGATGCCATCTTAAACATGACTTCCTCTAAGAACCTGCTCTCTGTTAGGTCTCCCTGTGTCATAGACAGAGGCAGCTGCCTCCACACCATACCCGGCCCACACAATACCCTACAAGTGGAACTACATCAGGCTATCCATGTAGCCTGATGGATACAAGGGCAGAGACCATTTTCCCCCGTGACTTTGAAACTTTAACAGAGACCTAGAGACCAAAGGTAGTGGTTGCTGAGGCTTTTTTTTTTTTTTTTTTTTTTTTGCCTATCTTTCAGAAAGAAGATGTATGAGCTCCCGTTGCTTAGGAACACAGGGCTAAGGTTTCTGTTCTCATTAAACTGGTCAGTTGTCTCTTTTCTCTTCCCTCTGAGCTCATCTGGCATCCAGGCAACCAATTCCCTTTAACATGCAAGATAATGTTTTAGAGGCCTTTTCCTCCTGTATCAGATTTACTTTCTTTTTATTTATTTTTTAACAGCTTTATTGAGATACAACTGATGGATGAAATCTGCACATATTTGATGTATAGAGTTTAATGAGTTATAGAGTTTAATGAGTTTGGGGACAGGCACACACCCATGAAACCAACACCACAGTCAAACTAATAGACATACTTCTCGCCTCCAAAAATTTTCTTCTGTCCCTTCATTTTGTTTTTTGTTTTTGTTTTTGGTTTTGGTTTTGTGGCAGGGACACTTAACATGAGACCTATCTTCTTCTTTTTTTTTCTTTTTAAAGATTTTATTTATTTATTTGACAGAGATCACAGGTAGGCAGAGGCAGCCAGAGAGAGAGGAAGGGAAGCAGGCTCCCTGCTGAGCAGAGAGCCCGATGCAGGACTCGATCCCAGGACCCCAGGATCATGACCTGAGCCGAAGGCAGAGGCTTTAACCCACTAAGCCACCCAGATGCCCCATGAGACCTATCTTCTTAACAAAATCTGAAGTGCACAGTACAGTATTGTTAACTGTGGCTACCACGTTTTACCACTCTGATGTTTGGCAGATCTCAAGCAAGTCTTTATCTTGCATAACTGAACCTTATATCAGTCCAAGTCCCTATTTCCTTCTTCTCATAGACCTTGGCACTCACCATTTTACTTTCTGCTTCTATGACTTTGACTCCTTTGGCTACTTCATGGAACTGGGATCATGTTTAATTTGTGTCTCTCTGACTGGCTTATTTCACTTAGCATGTTTTCCGGCTTCATCCATGTTGTTGCAAATGGCAAGATTTCCTATAATAGTGTCCTATTATATGTATAGACCACATTTTCTTTATTCATTTACCTACTGATGTTCATTTGAGTTGCTTCCATATTTTTGCTGTTATGAATAATACTGCAACAAACAGGGGAGTGCAGATATCTCTTCAAGATCCCGGTTTCAATTCTTTTAGACATATACCCAGAAGTGGGATTGCTGGGTGGTAGTTCTATTTTTTTTTAAATTTTTTTGTGGAACCTCCATATTGTTTTCCATAGCAGCTACACCACCCATTGGGTACAAGGGTTCCGATTTCTTTGCATCCTCCCCAATATATATCTTTTGTTTCTTTACTAATAGTCTTGTGAAGTGATAGCTTATTTTGGTTTTGATTTGCATTTCCTGATGATGCGTGGTCTCAAGCACATTTCCATATAACTGTTGTCCATTTACATGTCTTCTTTCCATGAAATGTTTATTCAAATCCTTTGGTAATTTTTAAATTAGGTTATTATTTCTACTTGGTATTGAGTTGTGCGAGTTTCTTACATATTCTTAGATATTAACATCTTATCAGGTATGTGGTTTGCAAATACTTTCTCCAATTCCATACAAAGCTACAATAATTAAAGAGTATGGTACCAGCATAAAAACAGACATATAGACCAGTGGAACAGAATAGAGAACCCAGAAATAAACCCAGGTATACATGGTTAACTGACCTTCCAGAAGGGTGCCTCAAGGGGAAAGGCCAGTCTCTCCAATAAATGGTGTTGGGAAAACTGGAGAGCCACATGCAAATGAATGAAAATGGACGCCATCTTGTGCCATTCATGAAACTCAACTTAGAATTAATCAAAACTTAAACTTAAAAAGACCTGAAACAATAAAGCACTGATAACAAAAACGAAAATAAACAAGTGGGACTACATCAGAATAAAATGTTTGCTTTCCTTTTAAACAGTGAATTGGAAGTTTTATGCCACTAAGAAACTTAAAACTGCCTAAGAGATTTTCTACTGACCTTTCAGCTTCTACCGAAGACATAGTAACGTTCACTTGGAGCTTCTCCTGGCTTCAGCCCTCTGCTTGTAAGAGGGAATATTTCAAAAGCCTGAGCCATCTCTGCCTCCACCTCTTTGAGGATAGTGAACCCAGAGGGTTTACTCACAATCAAGTATCTGCTTCAAAGGTAGATGTTACTTTGATTGTTTTCATGAACATTTCTGGAGCAAGGAAAAATGACAAAGATGGCATCTAATCATAATGTCATTAGTTATTTGAAGTGGTTTTATTTTATGACTCTGTTCTTTCATGGGACTACAAATCATTCCCTCAAAAAATAATTTGGATTGAGATCTTTCAAAGGATCTTGTAAAACATTTTTTGACCTATATTTTGTTATAAGGAGAAAATAACATCTCTGGTTAAAAGGACACACGGATCTTGATATAAGGTATTTAGGAATAATACTCAATGTTTTTTCTTATATCTTCTCTTTTATTATTATTATTTTTTAAAAAGATTTTTATTTATTTATTTGACAGACAGAGATCAAAAGTAGGCAGAGAGGCAGGCAGAGAGAGAGGTAGAGCAGGCTCCCCGCGGAGCAGAGAGCCCAATGCGGGGCTCGTGGGATCATGACCCGAGCCGAAGGCAGACGCTTTAACCCGCTGAGCCACCTAGGCGCCTCTCTTATACCTTTTCTTAAAAGGAGGATAATCATTAAATACATAATATCAGGGGCTTCAAATTCTCAAGGGAATATTTGATCAAGAGTCACCTAAATTAGCCAGAATCCATTGTTGTTAGAGAAAACAAAAGAAACTTAATTGATTTTGAAAAACAGTACCAGAGAGTCGAGGCACTCAGATTTTAGAGAGTATTTTAAATTGACTGTTGGTCAGTCCGAAGTAGTCAGATGGCTTTCCATATTCTAGAATGGAAAAACTTCTGCAGGGTAGGAGGTTGTGACGGCACCAAGCCAACACTCACCATGGCTGCCTGAGTTAGGGTAAGTACCATGGCAACTGGGTTGAGACTCCTGTAAGCTAGTCCTGAAAATTACGTTTGTGCAACACTGAATTACAGTTCCAGCGGACTCACAGCCTTTGCAGATCTCTCCCGTGTGAAGTAAGAAATGACACGCAGAATGGGCATATCCAAGCATATGGGGGACTTAAAGGACATGACTTCTTAGGAACCTGTGGAATTCTCCCCATGACCTATGTGTGTGTGTTGGGCAGTCAGGAAAAAAAAACTAGAATTTATCATTTATCATGATATTTTCATGTCAATTTGCCACTTCTTAGGGCCCCCTCCATTCCCATCTTGCTGGTTTTCAAACACTCTACCTCTTCCACACTCTGTATTCAGGTGTTCTCTTTCTCTCTCTTTCTCACACACACACACAGATGTCTCAGTCTGTGGTTTTTCCCTCCCCACACCTCCCTCCACGGGGCTCCAAGGGTTGGGTAAGGTGGGGCCGAGGGGGCTGTTTCCAGGTTCTTGTCTGGGTCTCCGATCCGGGCCCAGCGCTGTGCCACTAGGCCCCGCAGAGGTAGAGGCTGCTGTCCGCAGGACTCGCACTCGTCACCGTCAGAGAGAAAAATGTGAGGTTTGGATGGCTAATAGGAAACTTGGCCTCGGGAAATCTGGCTCGTGCGTGGTGCTGGAGCCCAGGTTTGAAGTCGCCATCAGCGTGAGGCCCTGCTTCGGGAGCTGACGGTACCAAAACACGGTCTGGGCCTGCAAGTCCACGGCTCGGCACTCGATCTGCACGGAGGCGCCGCTCTTGCAGATCGCGGTGCTTGGATCCTGGGAGACCCGAGCACCCAGCCCGGAGCCTGCCAAAACAGAGGTCAAGACGGTGACCGAGGCCAGAGGACCCTCGGACGCCACCCCGGGAGGCCAACTCACAGCCACACGCCCTTGCCTTCCGCCCAGCTCCCAGGGATCCCTGCTCCTCCGTGAAATCTGCCTGCTAGATACCCTCCGGCCGTAACCCCGCATCTGCCCTGACTGGGGACGCCTCACCCTACCCTTTGGACCTCCAGGGAGCGAGCACGTCCCTCCTCATTGTGGGCAGCACAAAAAAATCCACAGTCTCCGGCCCCCACTCCACGCAAGCCAATGCACACACACACGCCCCAACTCCTCAGATAACACGGTTCATACTGGGCCCCAGGAGCAGCAGGAGCAGCAGCATGTCAGGTGTTGGCCTCCTACCGCGCCTCGCTCAGGATCCCGCTCTTCCTTCTGCCCTTCTCCGCGGCTGGGAGGACGGACCACCGCTTGCGTAATCCTGACAGTGCTCCCGACCGCCCCCTGGTGGTGATTTTTTTGGCCAGTGGTGCGGAATCATCACTGTTTATCAAAGAGCCACGGATGCAGGACAGAAAAGGGCCTCAGAGGTTCTAATTCTACTTTTTTTTTTTATTTTTTTAAATTTTATTTTTTATAAACATATAATATGTTTTTATCCCCAGGGGTACAGGTCTGTGAATCGCCAGGTTTACACACTTCACAGCACTCACCATAGCACATACCCTCCCCAATGTCCATAACCCCCCCCACCAACCCCCCTCCCCCCATCAACCCTCAGTTTGTTTTGTGAGATTAAGAGTCACTTATGGTTTGTCTCCCTCCCAATCCCATCTTGTTTCATTTACTCTTCTCCTAACCCCTTAACCCCCCATGTTGCATCTCCTCTCCCTCTTATCAGGGAAATCATATGATAGTTGTCTTTCTCCGATTGACTTATTTCGCTAAGCATGATAACTCTAATTCTACTCTTAACCCTATAGAACATGCACTAAGACTCAGATCATTGAAATGATTTAAACAAGTTTCTTAGCTTTATTCAAGAAAAAGGTTATATATTTGTGTAGCCAATGGAATTATAGCCAGTCCTTTACTTCTGTAACATGTATCAGAGTAAGAGACAAGTTATGAGTTGGGAGCATGTGAACCTAAGAAATCCTAGGCTCTAAGTTCAATGTGTCTTCATACTGATAAAGACGATGTCTCATCTTCTAAATGAAATATGTATTTCGCGACTATCTCATGCCAGTCTCCCTCATCTTGATGGACTTAATACTAAGCATAGCTATTTATCATAGTCTGTATATCTCTGCGTGAGTCACTGTGGAAGCTAGGAGCTCTTTCATTAAGATACAGGTCATAAGCCAAGTACTGGCCAGTGGCAATAGGTTCTAGGAGATTTGGGGGATTATTTAGCTTTGAACATGCTGGAATATTTATTTAAATGGCTCACGCTCAGAAATGTATAGCAGTTTCAAAGAGGCTGAAGAGTTTTCTCCAAAGCATTATACTTCATTTTTATAACAACCTCCCTGTTGTGCTTCATTCGTATTTAGTTCTTTATGTCTGGAGTGAGTAACGGAGCAAGGTGAGATTGGACCTGATCCATCAAATTATGTTTGTACTATAGTGACATAGATTTTTATCATAGCAAATATAATATTGTGTACTAAATATTACCATATGCACAATACAGATATGTGTATCCAAGGGCATCTGATATGTTCCTGTGACTGTATTTTTTTCATGGTGGGGGAAGACCACGTTATGACAAGGTCACTTCCCACCACAACTCTATTTTTCCTCTGCCAAGAGTAGGTGAATGTGCCTGCAACATATCACTTCTCCACAACATGATGACGTATATGGGATGAAGTGTCTGGCAGTTCCTGGATCAGAAGAAAATCTTTCTACTTTTTCTGTGGACAACCAGCCATTTTATGTATACACACACACACACACACACATATTATATATCCACCTACAGTGTTTCATATTCATTGTCAACTTAACTAAGGAAGAATTACATTTCTTAGAACTTTCTTTGTGGTATAGCTCTCGATTAGAATTGGTCTCAAGAAAAATTTTGCACATGAAGCAGGTGTCATTCTGCTCTGAAGTCATCATTGGTCTAAGGAGGTGAGGGATGAGATCAGTAGCACCAATTTATTATATAATGGTAGCTACTCCTCAGAGATGGCACCCGGATGAACCACCATACTTCCTAGCATTCACAGTCCTACAAGGATCGGGGCTGACTTGAATGTGATGGAAGGGGCACTGTATGATTTTCATACGTGGCCTTGCACATTCCAGCTGGGTCTCTTGAATGCTCACTCTTGGGGAAGCCAGCCAGTATGTAATAATTTGAACTACTCTGAGGCCACCATGCTGCGAGGAAACCCACCTAACCACATGGAAGGTTTATGTGGAGAAGGACATGCGGGGCTGGTCTGCAGATGTGCTGGTCATCCCAGGTGAGGCATCAGATACATGTATAAAGAAGTCACCTTGGATGTCCAGCCCAGTTGAACCTTCAGATATCTCCAGGTTTGGCGACTACCTATCTGTCATTACATGAGAGACCCCAAGCAGGAAATGCCTACTAACTGCCCATTCAACCCACAGAACCATGAGAGAGAATACATTTTTATTTTTAGTCATTGTATTTTGGGATGGTGGTGGTGGTAGTTGTTTTTCTAAGCTTTTAAAGGGAAATATAAAATACACATAATAGACCACACAAATCTTAAGCGTACAGCTGAGCGAATTTTCACAAATGAATGCACTTAGGCAGGTAACCAACACCCAGATCAAGACAGAGGACATTATCAGAACGCCAGAAACCTCTCTCCTACTCCCTCCAAGTAAATTAAAAATGCCTGCACATGCAGCCACTGCTCTAACTTCAAACAGTATGTCCCCTTGTGTCTGGCTTCTCTATTCAACAACACGTCTATGGGATTCACCCATAATTTTGCAAATAATATTTGATTTTTTGCTATATTTTATTCTATTATATAAATATAATGCTATTTGTCTATTGCATTGTTGATGGACATTTGGCATTTTCCCTTTTGAGGCCATCATGAATAAAGTTGTTTTGAGATTATTTTTCTCACACATCTTTTTCTATTTCCTCAGAATCCTGGAATATTCCCTGAGCTTGCATACGATTAGCAACTTGGTTTTCTGACTTGTCTAATTTACTACTGATTGCTTCCAGTGTAATTTTGAGTTCAGAAATTATTTTTACTGTAGCCAAGAAATATTATAGCTCTTTGACAATATTTTTCTATAAATTGCTTTTCCTCATTAATAGCTAGAATGGCTCCTCAAAGCTTGCTAAGGGAAGATTTGGTGATATTTTGACTTTTTGTACTTTCATTTCATACAATTACTTTTTATAACTTGGTCATGAGAGTGGAGGTTATTATGAATTTCACAGCTAAAAAGTCCTTCCTAATATTAAGGCCACTCTGAAAAAGTAAATGACTCAATATTTTTATAATGGATGTTTAAAAAATCATGTAAAGTCCATTTTCTTTGTTTTTAAATTCATCAACCGAAAGGAGGAAATCTGTATCCCTTCCATTTATGTCCAAGATAATAAAGAAAAATGAAATTGTCTGTCTCTTACTGTGCTTCCTTAATTTCCTCTCTCTCCCTGGGCAGATAGCCTCACCCCATCCCATCACCTCTGGAATATGGCTTGTACCCAGGGAGCAGAAAACTCTTGGGGCTGTGTCTCCCACTGGCCCATGACTATTGGCTGGCTTAGGAAACATTTGATCTGTAGGTATCAATAAACATGGTCTGGACAAAGTAAAGCATCTTAGATCCATCCCATTCCTAATGGGTTCTTTACTATTGTCAGATGACATTGGTGGCAGTGAGGGCTAGTGCTCATCATACCATATTTCAGGGCTGTAGATTAGTGTCTCTTGCTCATTTCTGTTACTCAGTCCTTTGGTCTCTGTGTGAGTCAAGCTTCCATGCAATACATGGGAGAAGAAATCCAAAGCTAACAATTTGGAAAGGAATCCAAATAAAATGCAGGAAGCCTGGGCTTATATGTAATGGTTGGGGACTCCCCATATTTTCCCAAGAATTGCTTGTCCTGGGAAACACAGGGTCATACAGGAGAATAGGCTGAGGTTCTTAAATGCTTCCAAGAATATTTAAGAATATATTTAATTCAGCATTTTTATGTGTATGCAGTGGGAGAGATAGTCTGAATAATATAGACAGTCATTCATTTCTGCAAATACATATTTTCAAACAAATGAAATCCCAAGAATTAACACCACTTGCCTTAATTTGATAGATAGGTGTCAGACCACAGAGGGAGAAACCATACAGGAAAATGAGCATTTGTAAAATAATACTGATCCCTTGTCTGCTGATTAATCATGCAAATGTTTCTCTCAAGCCCAACTCTCCCTCTTAAGCACCGAGCAATCCTACTGAGTGTTCCTTTTCTTTTCTTTCGGTTTTTATTTATTTAGTTTTAGTAATCTCTACACCCAGCACGGGGATTGAACTCATGACCCAAGATCAAGAGTCCCACACTCTTCTGACTGAGCCAGCCAGGCACTCCCCTACTAGGTATTTCAATGCAGATATCCAAGGAAGGTCCACTAGAACCAGAAACTCAATTGAATTCAATAATCTCGCTCCACTCATTCTTCCAAATTGTCTCCTGTCGCCATATTCCGGGGATAGAGGTGACCGTCTTCATTCCTGATTTTATCTCATCACTCCTTCCTGCCAGTTCCTTAAGCTGTATCACTGCTTGTCCACCTGGTGAAATCTCATGCATTATTTGAGTTTCATCTCATGCTTTTGCCTTCTCTTTGAAGCCTCTCCTGATGCCACCAGACAGAACCAGCCACGTTATTTCCTATGGCCCATTAACATCTCTCATCAAAGCACACATTAATAGGAAACCCGATCACCATATTTGTCTTCTACACATTTTTCTTCCTCCTTGGCTTTTATTATTCTGAAGAAAAGGACCATTTTTTGTTCATTTTGGTTTTCCAGTATTTGGTAAGAAGAGCTAGGATGTAAAATTAGTATTTTCCTTTGTCTGTTCTCTTTCCTCCTACACCCCCTCCTCTTCCTTCACTCCCTCCCTCCCCCTCCTCCAACCCTTCTTTCTCCTCCTCCTTCTTCCTCTCTCTCTGGCTCTCCCTCTCTCTGATGTAGATAGTTATAGATATAGATGTAATTCTTAAAACCAGCGTAGTGGATCGCCAAGGTGTTGTGTCATTCCACAAAGCACGTTGATGGCAGCCGCTGCTTCGGGGGTCTGGTTGAGGTGGAGGAAAGCAGGCAGATCGGGGCCCTGAACACAGCAAAACCCTGCCACCTCATGGGGAA